GAAAAGTGAGGGAATAAAAGAACAGTGATTCTTTCATCTGTCTCAAGAGAGTGGTAATAGATTCTTTCATATGATTTAGCCATGCTTCTCTATCCATATTATCTTATAACTTTCTTTATCATTCTTCATAATTATTATGCTTTCTCTTAGCTAATTTTTCTTCAAAAACTTACTATTTGGTAGTTCTAGTTTCATACATCTTTTGTATAACTTCTTTGCACAGACGATCTTTTCTTTGATCATTCTAGTTAAAAGAAGTCTTGCAATATTTGATATGTAGTATAGATGAATTGATGATGACTAGAAGAGTTTTTATTGGGAAATAGATGGAGTTTTTGGGCATGCTGCTTCTGTAGGCTTTTGCTTGGTTTCCATTCTTCAAACTTGCATCTCATCGAGGAAAAAGAAAAGCAAAATTGATGATGTGGGTTTTGTTGTACCTATTTAACTCAAATATGTGTCTGGGAAAAATTCAAAAACACTGTGGGTTTGTTGTGCCCACTAAACGTCTCAAATAGGAGTCAGAGAAATTCGAGACCAGACTTTTTGAAAATTATGCTACCTTGGTTTCATCTGGCTTGTATCTTGTATAGTATCTTAGATAAATTCATCATTGTCCTGCTTCTTAGTTCTTGTGGATTTGTTTGTGCCTATGGAAATCTGGCTCACCATTATATACTCTTTGGCCTGATTTTTTATTTTTAATTTTAACTGAATTCAGGTCATATTAGTTTCTATTTTCCTGGATCAGCAGCAATTTTTACTGGTGATACATTATTCAGCTTATCTTGTGGCAAGCTTTTTGAAGGAACTCCCGAACAGGTTTGTTTGCCTTGCATTTTTCATTTAATTGGATGTTACCTAAATGTAGTACCATGTCCAAACAGTTTCTTCTTGCTAGACCTGCTTATGGTTTTTGCCTCTCTGTGCTTGATTTCATACACTTTTTACCCTTTTTGTTGTCCAATCAAGTTGAGTGCCATTTTGTGGGAGTTTCTCTGCTGTTCCTTTTATTCTCATTCCATGCACCCTGTTCTGTGTTCTCTCATGAACAAAGCGGCACTCAACTTAAGTATGCTTAGGTCACTCATTAAGTATCGATGTAATGGAAAAACTATTGTTGTGAAAAGTGAACTTGATGCTGAATGCTAATCTACTGAATGCTAAGTAATAATTGCTATGAGGTTATTAGTTTATTTGCAGAATTCTAATTGTTTAGTATGCATGATACAGATGCTATCTTCCCTCAAAAAAATCACTTCTTTGCCAGATGATACAAACATATTTTGCGGTCATGAGTATACTTTGGTCAGTAACTTATTGCTTTTATTTTATTTTATTATGACACTACATTTTCGGAAGGTCGAATGCCATATGCCTAATTATACGATTACCATTTGGCAGAGTAACTCTAAATTTGCTTTGTCCATTGAACCTAAGAACGAGGCTCTCAAATCTTTTGCAACCCAGGTTGCCAATCTACGAAGCAAGGGCTTGCCAACGGTAACTCCTTGGCCATTATTTTATGGGTGATTATTTGGAGTTTAATTCAGCATGGTTTGTGTATAGTGTTAAAACCACCCCCACACTAAAGCTATTTATAATCAAATAAATTACAAGTATATAGGAAGAGTAATAAAGGGAAAGAACAATAAATGAAAAAAATACCTGTGTAAGGCTACGAATATCTAGATATTTGCCTATAATAAAAGATCAATTATGATATATATGATAAACTATAATTTAGTACTAAATATCTTTGACATCCCCTGGAAGTTGAGGTCGGATTTGAATGAATGTGAAGCTTGGATCTGAAAAATTCAAAGAGATGTTGATAAACACTTTTCATGAAGATGCGAACAACCTGGTTCGGAAGAGATGTGGAGAAATACTTTCTTGGCCATCCAAAACTGCAGAGGGATTGTCGCTCAACGGCGATGCTGCCTTGGCTCTGGCGAGAATATGTCTAACCCACGAAGTAGAAGAGGGTAACCCAGAGGAAGAAGGAGAATAGAGAGAGAGAGTTCGATGGTGACTATGAAGAAGAGAGGAACAAGATAGGAAGAAGAGGACAAAAACTGAGAATGCAGACTCTAGGTGTATTTTAGATGAAGAAAGAGGGGCGGAGATGGAGTGGGGTCTGGGCCTTGTGGACCGGTTTGCTATTGAGCAAATGAGCACGAGTATTCTGTTCACAACACCAAATGGTCAGGAGTGGAGGTCGACAACGGAGAAGTAGGCAAAGCCGGTGGAGAAGTAGTCGGCACCATAGCAGGTGGTGAAGTTCCAATGGACAGAGAGGGAGCTGGAGCAAAGGACAAAGACGATGTTGAAGCCGGAAGAGTCGCCATAGTGGGCGAAGGAGCCAATTTTGGCTAGGAGGCTGGCGGCGACTTGGTTGGCGAAGAGGCCAGTTCGCGCTTGAATTCTGAAGGTAAATCTTTGCAGAAGGTCGATGGGCTTGTAGAGATTTCGTATATTTTCGATGAGAAAGCCGATTGTGAAGGATGAAGGGAAGATTGGAAAGAAAATGAAAGAGGCTATGTTGGTTAAGGGAAAACCGATTGTGTTGGAATAGGTGAGGTTGTATGTATAGAGTAAGGAGAAGGGTGATTTGGAGGTCAAAAAGGTGGAGCCGAAGAGTAATTAATCGGCTCCGCCTGCGGCAGCCATGGTGATCGCCCTTGCGGCGTCAAAGCCAACTGTGGTGGTGGAGAAGAACAGTAAAGGATTCAGAAACCATTGAAAAGAAAGGATCGAGGTTGTTAAACCGAAAAAGGGCTCTGATACCATGAGAATATTTGTTAAAACCACCGCACCTAAATGGTGTGAAAATTTTCTATTTATAATCAAATAAATTACAAGGATATAGAAAGATTAATAAATGGAAAGATACCTATATATAATGGAAGACAAATATCTAGTACTAAATATCATGTAGTAAAAGTTATAGATAAAGTACTAAATATCTAGATATTTGTTGGAAATAAAAGATCAAATATATATGATAAATTATAATTTAGTACTAAAGATATTTATTACTAAATTATAATTTATTATTTTGTAATAACTTTTTTCCAAATAAAAGACTACTTTATTGAGAGCATGGAATATTATACGAAAGGAGAAACTTTCCTCCCAAGTTGAGTTTACACGAAGCACGGCTAGTTGATGCCTTGCAGAATATGAGCTTGCGAAGTGAAATTTTTTTATTTCTTTTTGTGGATCCTAGGGAGATTATTTGTTATGTTGTGAGCTCCTCAGTAAATTCGACTGTCACTATAAAAACAATGATTTTGGTAGGCTGAGACACACAAGCACCTCAACCTTGAACCTAGGGATGGCATGAACAGGCCATTTGGTATTATTTCCATTGCCCCTTGAGTGTTTTTAACTCGACGATTCTAATATCACAGATTCCAACAACATTAAAGATGGAGAAAATGTGCAATCCGTTCCTCCGTACTTCAAGTACAGAAATTCGGCAGTCGTTAAAAGTTCGAAATACAGCGGATGATGCAGAGGTCTTGGGTATCATTCGCAAAGCTAAGGATAAATTTTAGCACCCTCTATAAAACAGAGAGGGTTTGGAAGAGTTCATTTTCATGTATAGGATGATAGATTAGCAGTTGCCTGTGTAAAATAAGTTAACGGGATGTTTGCATTCATGATTTCCTATTGAGTTCCATTATTATCAGTTCAGTTCTTACGTTTAATTTGCACACCTCTTGACACGAAGAGTCGATTTTCTTTCCCTCTCTTTTTATACGATGAAAAAAGCACTAGATGATTTTCGTGGTGTGTTTGGTATTAGGTTTAGATGTTGGAAACAGTGGTGAAGCCATAGTAGTTGTGCCTAGAATTCAATTGAATGTAGTATTGAGTTTTGTTGGAGTTTAAGTTGGTTAAGAGGAGAAACATTGGAGAATGTAAAGAGAGTCTGGTTGAGGAAGAGGATGATTCTTCTCCAATCTCTTATTGGTTGTGGGTGTGGATTGGTGTCCCATGCATCTTTGAGAGCATATTGACATGGACTCTCCTTTTTTTGCTCGAAATAATTTAGTAGAAAGGTGAGGTTTCTTGATGCAATAGATCAACACAAGGGCCTTGGGTTTGATGGTTTTGCCATGACTTTTTTCAGCACAATTGGATAGTAACTTTAATGAATTATTTGTTTGTCTCCTCCCTACAAATGAAAATGGCAAACAAAGTTCAGTCTCCACATATTCATTTGCTCAATCTATATAATTAGACCAACTCATGTTATCAAATAACAGCAAATTAGTAGCCATGTAACATTACTTGGTTATATATATATTTCTTTAGACTTTTTTTTTTTTTTTTTTTTTAAAGAAGAAAAGAAAGTATTAAAAAAGATTGAAAAGATAAGAGTTTTGGTTGTTACTATTATCTTGTCCTATATAATATACTCATAAATGCTTGCCTCAACTAGCCTATCTTGGATACCTATCTACATTCATGCATACTCAGAGTTGGTATTATCTATTTGTTAGAAGGAAATAAATTTTAAAAGTGAATCAGTTGCATGCAGCCCTATTATAATCTCAACCAAATGATTAAAAGTTTCATTTTCAGACTTTTGACATGGTTAGAACTAAAAAATTTGATGAATGTTTGTACCTTATCTCTATAACTCATCTCGTTAAACTATTATAATCTCAACCAAATGATTAAGAATTTCATTCTCAACCTTTGGCATGTTTGAACTAAAAAACTTTAACAATTTTAGCTTCAACCAAACGATTAAAAATTTCATTCTTGACATGGTTAAACCAAAAAACTCCAATGAAAGTTTGTACCCGACCGAGAACAAACAAAACTACCTTAAATGAATACAAAACTTGAAAAATAAGAGTCTTTCTAGAATATATCATTACTTGTTTATATAGGGTTTGGTTCTGTTCTTGAAATTCTATTTCCATTAAACTAAGGTTTGTTTGCAATTCAACACCCATTCACATGATTAGAGTTGAAAAAGAAGAACAAAAAATGAAGAAATTTATAAAACCAAAACCAAAACCAAAAACCCATTGGCCTCCTTTTCTGACAAATACAAATACACATGGAAGCAATTTGAAAGGCAAAAATGAAAAGGGTTTCTCTCTCTCTTCTTCTTCCTCTCATTCCCCCATGAATCAAAGCAAAGCAAAAAAAAAAAAAAAAAAAAAAAAAAAACC